TGAAAAAAGTTTATATATATATATATATATATATATATATATATATATATAATACTGTACTTATTGTATAATATATTATACTGTATTACAGGGGTATGCAATATATATATATATATATATATATATATATATATATATTATATACTTACTATTACTTTATATTTACTTATATAAATAACAAAACAAAACAAAATTTTGTATTTTATATAAAATACAATTTCATAATAGACTTATTATATATGTTAAAGATTATTATGATTATAATACAGTATTATATTTTATCAAAAAAATAAAATAAAATAAAAATAAATTATTTTATCTTAATTGTAAAATTATTTTACTATATTTATTATATACTAATACTTTATTGTAATAATAATAATATTATTTTTATTATTTGGGTGTAAATATTTAGATTTAAATTATTGATTATGTCAAAAACATTTTTTAAAAATAAGTAAAATATTATATATATATWTTAAATATATATAAAATTGTATTAATTTTCTAGACAATAATAATAATATATTATTATATACAGTATATACTGAATTATATTTGCATAATTATTATGTGTGTAAATATTTATTATTATTATTATTATTATTATTATTATTATTATTATTATTATTATTATTATTATTATTATTATTATTATTATTATTATTATTATTATTATTATTATTATTATTATTATTATTATGAAAACTTACAAAATTTAGATGACAGTAGTTTTTTTTAAAAATAAAAATATTTTAAACATTGATAATATATTTTTCGGAATAATATTTATAATATTTATACATAAATATATATATATATATATATGTTATGTATTTATTTAATAAAATATTATGTTTATTGTGTGTGACGTTTAACATTTAGTGACATAACATAATATTTTTAAAATTTTTATTTATTATTTAATTTTTTTTATTTTTGTAACACATTTTTCAACAAATATAATATTGAAAAATAGATATTTGAATTTACTTTATTTATGTTATTGAAATTTAAATATTATTTTTATTTATTATAATTATTATTATTACTGTTTTCATTCAGATAAATATTTTTTGACAAAATAATTTTTTAATTTTATCTATATATATATATATATATATATGCATAAACAMTGTATAATTTGTTAGCGATGCTAAAACTACTACAATATGTATAATTATAATAAATATAAGTGTTTAATATATATATATATAGACTATAATTTAGTATATTTATCTATATATTTGATATAATAATTATAATAAAAGCATCGGTTACTACATTAGTATAGAAATAATGCCCAATGGCTATAATTTTGATTGCATTTATGTATGTATGTGTGTATGTATGTGTGTGTATATATGTATGTATGTGTGTATGTATGTGTGTGTATATATGTATATATATGTGTGTGTATGTATGTATGTATGTGTATGTATGTATGTATGTATGTATGTATGTGTGTATGTATGTTTGTATGTATGTGTATGTATGTATGTATGTATGTATGTGTATGTATGTATGTATGTATGTATGTGTATGTATGTGTATGTATGTATGTATGTGTGTATGTATGTATGTATGTGTGTATATATGTATGTATGTGTAAGTAATTATGTGTTATATATGCATGATGTTACAAATTAATAGTGAAAATTATAATAATTAACATATGTCAAAAATTGCTGCAGATTTTTTTTTGAATAATAAATTTATATGTTTGATAAAAATTTTAACATTAAAAAACAAAATTATAATAATAAAAAAATCTAAAACAGTATTTTTTGTTGGTTAAAATGCATTAATACTGTATATTAGATAATATATAAATAGTTTTATTTTAAAAAACTTTTTTTTTGTCTTTTAAATATATATATATATATATATTTATAATGCATTTTGTTGTATGCTTTTAGTCATTTCCTATACGTAACAAACAGTATATAAATTATATAATATTATATATATATATACTGTATATATAWATATATATATATATATATATATATATAAATTTAGTAATACATTGACATCACTTGTAGTGATTCACTACTTTATTTTATTGGTAAAAATAATGTTAAAAACTTTATACATAGTATTTTGTATTTTTATATATTTATTTTAATACTATTTAATATATATATATATAATATAGATATAATATAWTACATATATATRTATATATTATGTATATTTTAAATATTAARTATAAAATCCTTAATGCAATTAWTAAGTCTTATTTATAGTTAGATTATTTAATAATTTTAAATTTTTCATATTTAATAAAATATAAAAATCATAGTATAATTATTATTATTATMAATTTKGATTAATTATAAACAWAACAATAATTATAAACAATTGWKTTTATTTGTTTGAAAAATAATTAGTTGATTCAATTAAATTTTAATAAATATTTATTATTATTTATTTATGCTTAAAATGTTATTTAAGCTAAATATATTAATTAACAATTAGTTTACAATTAAATTTAGTAATTAAATATTTAAAACTAAAAATTTTAATAAAAATTATAACATCTAAATATTTTGTTAWTTTTAGTTTTTTAATTAAWTTCATRMATATTATGTTTAATTTTTCWAAAATATTAAAATAAGGGATTTGAATATATTTTTTAAAAAAATTATTTGTTGTTTTTAAWTAGATAATTATTAATTTTAAAATCAAAAAAATATYTTTTATTAGTACAAAAATATAATATTTTATATTATTTATAATACTTTTATGTATAAAATATYTACAKTTTGTAAAAAACATTGGCTATTGATTAAAAAAAATGTTTAATCTGAATTTAGATTAATTATAAAATAATAATACTATTGTATAAATTTTTTTTAAAAATTACATTAGTTAGTTTTATTATTATTATATTTGATCCAATATTCAAAAAATACAATATCTATATTATAATATATTATATAAAATAAGAAAAATTTCTTATATTATAATAATAGTGTAATAATAATACTATTACTGATTTAAAATTTTTATAATATAKATATATATATATTGTATATACTGTATCAGTAATGCTATTTTATGATAAAATGCTTATATATATTTTCATACTACTCATAYATATATATATATATATWWTACTACATATTTTCAGAGACAAAATAAAAWATAAAAAAAAAAATGATTCAAAAAAAATAAAACTAATAATTTATGTTGAATTGGTTGCAGAATATTCTTGCACTAGATTTTTATTATACGATTTATTTTATTTTATATATACTGTATTATATTATATATATATATATATATATATATATATATATTAATAAAAATTTTTATATATGTAGTTATCCWCCAATAGATTCCTCAAATAAAGTTATTCACATAATAATAATTACATTTTTTAATACATATATAATACATATACTCTATATACTGTATATACTGTATATATTGTATTATATATTATATTTTTGAATAGCATATATATATATATATATATATGAAAAATAATTGAGTATTTTATTATTATTATTATTACTGAAAGTAAATTAGTTTTATAAAATATAATATCTGTATATAATATATATAGATTTATACAGTAGTTTAATAATACTAATAATTATTTTTTTTAGATTTTATTTTATTTGGATGACTTGTTTTAGTATATAATATATTATTGTTTAGTCTAACATTGAATTTWGTATTATAATTGTATGATTTTTTTAAACATGTTTTTTTTTGTAGTAATATATTAGATATGAATTTGTATTATTATTATTATTATAATACTATTGTTTTATTTATTAATTTATTGTTTTATGACAAATAGTTTTATATATATATATATATATATAAATTTTGTGTTTGTGTGTGTGTTTATTTAATTAATTATTAATATTATAAATTACAATAAATATTTAAACTAATTATTGTTGATATAATTATATGAATTTATACTAATTTTTTTATAATAATAAAAAGTGCTTATATTATTCAATTAAATTTTTARTATAATATTATTAATATATATATATATAGTATAGTATATTATTGTTATTTTAGTTATAAATTTATTTATTTTGCATTATGTGTAATATTTATCAAATTCATYAATTATTATTATTATTACAAAAAGTTAATTATWTATTTTAAATATATTATTATTATTATTATACAATATGTTTGCATAAACTATAAAATATTAGTCATTTATTTAATATATTTATAAATGTTGTTAAATTAAGTAATTATTAGTAAATATTTTAAAATTATCATAAATTTATAATAAATATATAGATTTTTTAAATTTTTTATTATTTTTAATATTTATTTGAWAKTAACAGTTWTTTTCTAGTAAATATCATAATTTTATTTTTATAATTATTTGTTTTTTTTGTGTGTAATTTATAATTATACTGTTATTGTTTGAATTTACACTAATTTATTAWATATATAATTTATATTATTTAATTTAATCGTAATAATTAACAATTATTTTAATTATAATTTTTTTTATCTGTATTAATAAATTATTATTTTTATCTATTATTATAATTATAACTATWATWTTTTTTAATTAAAATATATTATTATGTTTGCATTTAATAAAAAAACTGTAAAATACTACTATTAGTTAACTTGATAATATATTAATCTTAATTATTAAAATATAATTAATTACTAATTTACATTTATAATATTGATTTATCAATAAAATAAATCAATAAATATAAACTATAACTTTTAACAAATTTAACATGTTAATTGTTACATGTTAATTTGAAACAACAACAAAATTTTTATTTTATTATAATTCAATTAAATTAATTAAATATCATAAATAATTTTTAGTAATATAATCTAATTTGTTTTTGTTGTAAATTTCAAAAAAAAAATTTTTTTACATAATATTGTTATAATTTTTTTTTAATTAATATGAAAAACTATGAAAATTTTAATTAATTTTAATTTTATTAATTTTATTAATTTTAATTTAAATAAAAAAATTGATCTAGCTACAACAATTGGTGGTCACTGGCCAATTGCCATGCTCAAAAGATGAGGCATCAGTATTGGCCGGCATTCAATTGAGAATAGAGGAGACGTGGCCTCAATCGAGGACAGGTAGTCATCAGCAYCARCAKCWSCATCAGTATCATTATAATCAACCGTCACCACAACACAGTCATAMTATTAATAATAATAATAATAATAATACAAACCCATTGACTACTATTACTACTACTAATACTACTACTACTACTGGTAGCGAAAAGTTGCGCCCAATTTGTGAAGATGTTAAGGTATGTATAATAATAATAATAATAATTATTATTATTATTACTATTAGTATTATTATTATTAGTATTATTATTACTATTATTATTATTATTATTATTACTATTATTATTACTATTATTATTATTATAATTATTACTATTACTATTAGTATTAGTATTATTGCTATATTATTTTTACTATTATTATTGTGTTTAAATAATAATATATGTGTTTACAAACTATTTTATGGTATATATATATATATATATATTATAGTAGCGGATACTTATAAACAGTTTATTATTTACACTTGTATTTAGRGGTTATTTTTTTAATAATAATAATGTTTAATACTTTATATATATGATATATATATGTTGTATGTTATGAAAGTTTTTTTGTTGTTTGTATTRTTATTATTATTATTATTATTGAGAGGATATGATATACCCTTTAATATATTACTATAGAKTATTTACAGTATATTTAAGTAGTAATTTCCTAACGTTATGTATACAATATATATATATTGTAATGTATATATATATATGTAATGTATATATATATATTGTAATGTATATATATATATATATATATATATATATATATGTTATATTTATTCTATATTATTATTATTATAGAAAAATTCCGAGAAAWTTTCCAACAAATAATTTGTTTGTTTAATGAATTAATTAGATTTTTTTTAWAAAAATTAATTAATTATATTCTTATCATTTATTTATTTTTTAAGTTAAAAAGTTATTTTTTCATTGAATTTAAATACTATTAAATAATTAATGGAAATATTACCCCGGGGGTAAAAACTTTCTAATAATAAGTATTTATTTATATTTATATATATATATATTTAAAGTAATATATTATATTTAAAGCTATTTACTAATCTATTTAATCTTTAATCTTCAAGTTGCCTAATATATTAGTATTATATAAATATAGTATAAGTTATATATATATATATATTATTATTGTAAATATATGTCAATATTTACATTCAATATATTTGACTAAATATTTGTTTGGATATATCGATTGATATATAAGTTTGTTATTTAAATCAATATTATATACAGTATATTATATTATTATATATATTAGAAAATATTAGTATTCAATTTATTTATAATATTGATATTGATTTTAATATATATATATATTTAATAGGAAATAATATATTATTATTATTATTATTACATATATAAATTGTCTAGTATCAAATATATATATATATATATATATATATACAAGTATAATGTGGAAAATACATAAATTATTTACTAAATAAAAAACTAAATTTTGATTAAAAAATATATTGTTTTTTATATGTAAATTAAAAAAAATAAAATCTGTATAAACAAAAATAATATATGATATATAATCAATAAATAAATAGTTTATTTTATATAAACAATTGTTTTATAAATACAGTATTATTATTATTATTATTATTATTATTATTAGTACTCTATAGTGAAAATATATTGCAAGTTATAATACAATATAATTACTGTATTGTAAAATTGATTGATAAAATTATTTGTTGACAACATAATATTTTAAATATATATAATAATAATAATATGTAGAGTAGTAATTAATGTACTATACTGTATACTATATATATATATATATATATTAATATTATTATATATATAATATATAATTTACATTGTTTAACTATGCATAAATAGCCGCTTAATTGCTAAATGACCTAGTTAATTAATATATCATGCATAATATACACATTATTTTTAAAAAWAAAAATAATTTTCAAGTGTGTGTACACTGTATTAAATTAACAAATAATATTACTGKTAKTATAATGTTGTTTATACAGTATATATATATATATATATATATATAAGTTAAGTATTAATAATTWAAAATAATTAACAATAACAAGTAAATTTTATTTGTTTATATTAAAAAATAAAAATAATTTTAATTAACTAATTAATTAATTATAAATTTTTATTTTTACTCTAAAAACTTCGAAAATTATTATTATTTTTGTTTTTTTTTTCACTAAAAAAATTAAAAATTTGTTTTTCTAATTGAAATTTTGTTTTTTCGGTTTGATATCTCTTTCTATTTGTTTAAACAAATTAATACAAACAAACAAAAAACATTTATTTTTTTCGTCTATTAATTTGATGTTTGTTTTTCTCACTATTATTATTAGGAAATGTCTCCAATCGAGAGCACCGGTAGATTGACGGCGCAAATGATGACAAAAATGTCGGCAAATAATAGTAATAATAATAATAATAATAATATAGTGTTTGACGAGTTGGACGAGTGTTGTGATGATTATCAACAACAACTAAATGACAATAATAAGGATAGTAATAATGTTGTTGTGGCCGGGGATACAATTAATAGGTGTGTCCAACAACAAGCAATTAGTGGCAAATTTTATCAAAACCTAACCAAACGTACAACCAATCGRYTGTGCCATTGGGTACAAACTAATTGGCCGACAACTACTAATAGAAAACATAGACAACCATCAGGTTCGGGGGGTCAATCATCAGCAGCAGCAGCACAGGTAGCTACTAGTGCTACTACTAGTACAACAGCTACTACTACTACTACTACCAGTAGTACCGGTCCTATTGATCTGAGACAATGTTTGCCGCCAATGTATCACAATTCAAAAAATATGGCCAAAAATATCAAGGTAAATTTACTATATAATTATTTTATATTTAATTTATTAGTAATTAAATTGTGTTTAATTTAATAAAATACAAAAAATTTTATGTTTTTTTGTTGTTATTGAAATATATATATATATATATATATATATTTAAATAATTAGATAAAATATATTGCTATTATTATTAATAATTTGTTATATATATATATATATATTATAGAGTAAATTATAAATTTTAAAGTATATATTTAAAATAAATTAAAATTTACGATTTTATTATGACTAATATCTAAAAGTATATTTTAGTTTTTTTTAAATTTTATATATTAATTGAATATAAATAGTATAATTACAGTTTTTTAAAAAATAATAATAAAATAATTTTTTAAATTACAATTATTGATAATATTATATATATATAACTAATTGCATTTTTATAGTTACTTTATAAATGATATAACTTTCTACTATATATATATATATATATATATATATATATATATATATAGTATATTTATTATTAAATATAAACAATATATATATATATACTAAATATTTAATTAAATTATAATAAATCTTTTACATTTTTTGTGTTTTAGTTTTTATTATGATTTTCTCATAACATTAATTATTTCATATATATTAAGCTATTGTTTTAGGTTTTATTATCTTTAAAAATAAAACTAAAGGGTTGGGCACCAGAAAAAAAWTATATATATATATATATATATAATAATTCAATTAAATAAATATTTTATATCATCAAAAAAAAAATCTTATGTATAATTTATGTTTAAACAAAAACAATAGGGTATTAATTGTACAAATATAGTACAGTATATGTACTGTATATGTATTATTTTTTTTAAGTGTACCACCCAATGAATTTTACTGTACTATGTTTTTTCAAAAWATATATATATATATATATATATATATATATTAATAGGTAATTATATTAAATAATAAAAAAACATGATAATATAAATTATTAAATATAGTAGTAATAATAATAAATAGTGATATAAATATTAGACATCATATATATATCCAGTAAATACCCTACAAATAACTAAATTTGTATTTTAATATTAATTAATATATTTAAATAATTTTAATTATATTATTTAGAAATGATTTTTGTTTGTCTGTAGATAACAATTAGTTTATATTATTATAACTAAATTTTTTTTTTAAATATTATTTATTTTTCCTATAGTTTTTCAACAAAAACAACAAAAATATTTTTAATTAAATATTAAGCTATAATTGTATTGTAAACTATATTAACTATTTTTTATTAAAAAATATGATTAATGAAATGTTAAACATAATAAAATATCATATAATTTAAATTAAATTCAAAAAATATGATAAATAATTAAATAAATTATATTTATGATATTTAATAATTACAGTATAATTAAAAATAATTTTGTATAAAAATTTTTAATCTAACGTTTTAATAGAAAATATTATTATTTATTTTTAAATACTCAATAAAGTTATATTAAAAAAAAGTTATCACTAAATAAACTAAAAACAAACAAATAATTTTAAAAATAATTATCAATAAATATTGTAAATAATAAATACATTGATTTAATAATATAATTAAAAAAAATTAGATATACTTATTATTATTATTTTAAATACTCAATAAAAAGTTATATTAATTAAAAGTTATCACTAAATAATAATAATAAAAAACAAGCAAATTATCAATAAATACTGTAAATAACAAATACATTGATTTTGAATAATTAATATATAAATAGATATACTTATTATTTTAGTTTTATTTTATTATTTTTAGATATACTTATTATATATCAGTTAATTATATATTATAATTGATTAATATTTTTATTATTTATTTATTATTTATTTTTTTTTGTATAATAATATTTATTATTATTATTATTATTTATTTAATTATATTCATTTTCAACTACAGGAGCAAAAACGTAAACTATTTCACAGTCCTGTCTACGAATCGGAACAGCAGCTAAAAAAACTATACATCCAAACGTGTAAACGGTTGCCGGCATACGGTTGCCGACTGTTTCACGTCAAGGAACTCCTACGCGGAAAAACCAATCGTAGGGCTACCCGACTGTTGGGTATATGTCTCGAACGTATAGTACTATTGGACAGTAAGACTCTGCAACCGTCGGCCAAATGTCAGCCAACCAGTCAACTACAACAGTGGCGTACGGGTGGCGGCCGTTCACACGATCGGCTGGTACTGGAGTTTCGCGGTACTAAATGGTCGTTCATAACGCCGTCCCATAGTTCGCTCCGGGCTATCGGTACTGTTTTGTGGGAGATTATGCAGGACTTGGACTCAAGGTTTTTGGACGATATATTGATTACCGATCGGGAACAGCTGGACGATGGTTTGTATTGATTGTGTATATGTTGTTTGTGTGTGTATTTGTATGTGTGTGTGTGTGTATTTGTATGTATGTATGTGTGTGTATGTATTTGTATGTGTGTGTGTGTGTGTATTTGTATGTATGTATGTATGTMTGTATGTATGTMTGTATGTGTGTATGTATGTGTGTGTGTGTGTGTGTGTGTGTGTGTGTGAGAGAGAGAGAGAGAGAGAGAGAGAGAGAGTTTAAGTGAGTAAGTAGTAGTTTATGTACTTTATATATATGTATGAGTGTGAGTGAGTGAGTGAGTGAGTGAGTGAGTGAGTGAGTGAGTGAGTGGAGTGAATGTTTGAGAGAGAGAGAGAGAGAGAGAGAGAGAGAGAGAGAGAGAGAGAAAGAGAGAGTTTAGACAACAAAATGTTAAATTAATTTTTATAATTTGAATAATATTTTTTTATTTTTTTATTTTTGAAAACATTAGTAATTTTACTAAAACATATATTTCAATACACATTACTACTAACTACTGTATTATACATACAATAGTATTACAGTATTACTGTATAATAAAAAAAATAATAAACTTTATATGAATATTATTTTATTATTATTTTTTAATTATAACTAATTATTATAATATGATATAACATTTCCCTTATATTATTATTATTTATTTTAATGTTTTTTTTATAATAATAATAATATTAATAATAAAAACACACTGAGATTATATATATATATATATATTTAATGTACATTATATTTTTATTTATTTATTTTTTTATGTTTGTATTAATGTTTATTTCTTGGAAAATGATAATAAATTTATTATTTATTTATTTTTTATTTTATTTTGTTTGTGATTTAAATGCATAAAACTTTTTTTTTATTATTATTTTTTGTTGTTGTTTTGAATTGTTGTTATATGAATGTCATATATATATATATATATATATATATAATATATTTATTTTTTTAAATATTTAATATTATTGTTAGTACAGTTATATTAGTGTATTATTATTATTATTATTATTAGCAGTGTATGTACTGTTAACACACACACACTCACATGATTTGTACAATTTATACAATGAAATTACATTACATTTCATTATGTTATATATATATATATATAATAAATTTTGATACTATTTAATATAAACAGTATATATATATATAGTTTTATTATTATTATTATTTATTATTAATATACATATCATTTAGTGTACTGATTACTACAGTTACAACATGTCATATACACTGTCATGTAATAGTAAAATATTGGATACGATTTTCATAGATGTTATGGTTTAAATGCCATCATATGTGTGACATATAGTAATTATTTTGTCATACATACCGTCACACACACACACACACACACACACATACATACATACACATACATACACACACACATACACACATACATACATACATACATACACATACATACATACACATACATACACACACACATACACACATACATACATACATACATACATACACACACACATAAACATATAATTTAATAACTACTGTACACTATATATCCATATAACTTATGTTTTTATATACCTTATAAATATACTGTATATATATATATAGTTATATAATTCAAATTGATTTATTATGTATATTTATAATATGCATACCATATATACTGTATATTTGTAATTAAATTATTTAACATTATTATTATTATTATTATTATTATTAAATAGATTGTCGGCGAGCATTCAGACACGGTTTCGGTTACGGTTTGGATAATAAAGTTTTACAATTTAGGGATGAATTGCTTAGATTGGAGTCGTTATTACATTTTCCAGAGGAAGTGGCTCTCAGGCTAACTGATGTTGAATACCAATTATTTTATAGTATAGCTCCCATACATTATATAAGACAAGGTATAGTATAGATATATATATATATATATATAGTTATATATATATATAGATATATAAGTCAATAATAATAATTTTATTATTATAGTTATAGTTGGGGTTTGATTTTATTATATCATATATATAGTATAATAGCATAGCATATATATATATATCAATAATATAAAAAAGAGTTATCAATTATATATATATATATATATTATATTTTTTTGCTGATGACTTGACTATTGACTATATATATATATATAACCGGAGTCATTCAATTCAATAATACTAATAATACTACTGTAAATATATGGTATATAAAAATTGATATATTAAATGATAGAAATAGATATATAGAAATAGATAGCATAGTTAGTATAATATAGAAAACATATATATATATATATATTAATATAATGTATTATTATTTTATTATATATATACTATGTGTGTGTGTCATGTTATGGGAAATATTTGATATATATTAAATATATCTTAATAAATAGTTCAACATATTTGTACCTGATAAAATTTATATAGTAGTTAAAACAAATATTTATTTATTTTTAAATATAGCCAATAGATATAAATATTTTTATATATCATATGTATTAATATCATATTAAATAATTCAATATACTTGTTAATAGTCATATAAAATATATACTCAAATAAAATTAAGTATAAAATATATGATTTAAAACTATTTTATTTAATTATATCGATACTAATGATGAATATATATATATATACTAAACATAAATTTTTTATTTATTTAATATAATATGATTACTAGTATATTTTTGTTATATACTAATATTGAATAATTAAAATTTACAAAATTTGACTTTTATCAAATTTTTAAATATTAATAATATTTAATATCATCATCATTTAAATTTTATAATGATTTATATATATATATATATATATATATATATATATATATTAAATGTCAAATACATTTTCAGTATAATTAATGTAATATTTTCAAAAATAATTTAAACGATTACTTTCAAAATCATATATTTAAATAATATATATATATTTTGAATATTTAAATAAAAATTAATTTTTAATGTATTCAATATATATAACATTTAATTATCTTTAATCTTATTTATAAATAAAATAAACAAAAAATTATTATCAAAAAAAACATTTTAATATAAAGATATTTATTTTTTAAATATATTATTATTATTATAAAAAAATATATTATAAATATTTTTATTATTTATTTTTTTCAGTAACTATTGGCTTAAGTAATCGCGAGTCGTTTAACATTTATAATACCAATCAATCAATACAATCAAACATAGATATGTCAATGACTGTTAAAAAATTGATCGACAGATTTAATGAGGTATTTATTATATAATAATTAATTTTTATAAATAATTAATTTGTATTTTTTTTAAGTATTATTATTATTAATATGTTTGCCTAGATTTTATTTATTTTTTTGTTGCTGTTAATATATTATATAAATTAATTTAATGTATGCAATCATCTAATAAAAAATCAATATTTATTTTTGTATTTTTTTTTTAAAAACTTTACAATCAATATTAAATACATTTTTATATTAATAATTAATAGTAATTACTTATATATATTTATAAAAGTCTATTACTATAATATCAAATCATATAATTTAATTAAATTAAAACTATTAGTATAAATCATAATATTAATAATACTGGTAATTAGTAATAATTATTTTTAAATATATTTTATTATTAATATAATAAATATTTTAAAACTAATTATTACTAATTAGCAGCAATTATTAGTTTTTATTATTATTATTATTTATGATTCAATAGTTTTAAATTAATTAAACTTTTATATATATATATTAGTCATTATTATTAATTATTAATATAAAAATGTATTTAATTTTGATTTACTGTAAAAAGTATAAAAATAAATATTGATTTTATTAAGGGATTGCATACACACACACACACACACACATACATTAAATTAATTTATATAAAATATTAACAGCAAAATAAAAACTAAAATAAAATCTAGGCAAACATATTTATTAAATTTTAATTATAATATTATACACAAAAAAACTAAATAAAAAACTAAAATAATTTTTGTATTTTAATTTTCTATGGTGTGTGTGTTTAGTGTTAAAAATTAATTTTGTATAAAAAAATTAGGCATTTATTTTGTTTCTGTTATTTTATAAAAAATTTTATTTTAGATTAATATATATATATAATTTCAATAATAACATTTTATGTATTAATGTTTAAAAATTAAAATCATAGTAGTGCTGTATTATATTTAATTTTAAAAAAATCACATTTAATAAAATATATAATACAGCACTACTATGATGTTTTTTTTTAAAAAATGTATTTATCCATGTAATGTATTATATAATATAATACTATACTTATATATACTATTATATAATACCTGTATATATATACTGGTATTATACTGTAGTTTATTTATGCAGTATTTATAAGTATATATACTGTATATAAGTTTATGTTATTAGTGTATGAAAATTAATTTAATAATAATTTTATTTTATTTTTTGTGATTATACAATATATATATATAATACTGTATATACTGTATAATATTGAATATATTAAGAAACCTTTTTTTTTATTTTCAACAAAAAATAATAATAATAATAATAATAACTCTATTTAAATAAATCAATAGATTTTGTTTAATACCTTATTTTTTTATATAATAGTTTAATATTATTAATAAAACCTATATATTTACATACATTTATATATACTGTATATATATATATATATATTTTATATTATAGGTCTCTTCATGGGTGACGCATATAATCATATCACAGCCGACACATGAAATGAGGTCTAAAATTGTTATATAATTTTTTTTATTGTTGAATATTATTATTATTATTATTTAATATTATATATTATATTAATATTTTTTGATCTAAATTATCATATTATTGTAATTTATAAGATTATATTATATATAGATAAGAGTAGACAAAAAAATTGATTTTTTTTCACTAGCTTTCAATAGTTTCAAACATCAATATATAAATATATATACTTTATATATATATATATTGCATATCTTATTAATATTAAAATTATTAATATATATATATATATAATATAAATCTTATATAAAATATAATATAATCTTATAACTCACAATAATATGATAATTTAGATTAAAAAATATTAATATAATCATTTATATTTTATAAAAAAATCATTTAATTATTTTTGTGTTTATTTTATTTTAAAAATGTATTTTTAATTTAATTTTATTTTTTTACTTAAATTTGTTTTTTGTTTGTTGAGTAGTGTGTATTTAGTTTTATTTATTTTTTTTTAAAAATTGTTTTACTATTTTTCCCCACCACTCCCTCCCGTCTCTCTACAACGTGTTGATCCCGTTTAAACAGGAAAGCCGTTTTATCGTGTATAATGCGTGTGGCACAATGTTGTTGGAACATGGCCAATTTTAATTCGGCTACCGAAATATTAGCAGGGTTAAAGTAAGTTTTATAATTTAAATTTAAAATTTAAAAAAAAATAAAAATTTTAGTATTTAAAAAAATCTTAAAAATCCTAATAATAATAATTATTATTAGATATATTATAATAATTTTTTTCTAAAAAAATAAATAAATTTAATTTCTATATTTAAGAATAATTATTGTTTTTACATTATATTATAATAATAATAATAATAATAATAATATAAAATATTTCTATATTAAAAAAAATATATACTGTTAATAGCATATGTAATTTTTTATTTATTAAAAATAATATTTTTTTTTAGTATTTTGAAATTATTACATTTTAAAAGTTATTTTAAATAATAATAATACTAATGTTAAATTTGAAATATCGGTAATATATTATTGTAATTGAAAATATAGATTCTGTATATATTATTATTATTATTCAATATAATATAATATATTGAATAATAATAATAATAATATAATATTTTTTTGCAAAATAAATTTGATTTCTTTATATATAATATATATATTAAAAAAAATTAAATTGAATTTTTTAAAATAAGTTTTTTTTTTCATATTTGTATACATTTACAAGTTTAGCAACAACAAAAATTTTAATATATTTTAATATATAATATATATTTTTTTTATTAATGTTGCATGGTACTACAAATAATAATAATAATAATAATAATAATAAAGTACATTACTTCAACATTTTGAGTTATAAATTATATTTTAACTGTGTTTTTATGTATTAGGATTTACTGTATATATTTAGTATATATTATATGTAACTTACTTATCGATCGATATCATATTTTAAAAAATAAAAACATTTTTCCCCTTTTATTTTTTTTGTTGATATATAACTTATAAATTTATATTTGATTATTTCAATAAAATATACACTATATTTTCAAAATTTTATTTGCAATAATATATATATATATATATATTACATGTATTTTATACAAATTTTCCACTGCATTAGTAGTACATTATATATATATATACAGTATATTAAATTTAAACTAAACAAGTATAGCAACTACTATATGTTAAAACATATTTATATTGATATGTATTTTAGCTATAATAACAATAATATATATATATATAATTTTATTTTAAAGATTTATCATTTCAAATAGTATTTTATTTATTTGACATTTAAATACTTATACACAAAAAAATTAAATATAATAGTATTTTCTAAGATTTTTAAAAGCAAAAAATTATTTAAATATCATTATATTTCTACTGTATATAAGTTAAGAAATAAATAATAATAATAATGTAAATATTTATTAAAATATAACATTTTTATTTAATTAAAATATTTTTATTAATTGTTTGGTTTATTTGCGAAAAAATTAAATTATTATTATTTAAATATCATGTTTCTTCTGTATATAAGTCAAGTAAAAAATGTAATAATAATAATAATAATAATTTTTATTTTTTTTGCAAATAAACCAAACAATAACAACAAATTAATAAAAATATTTTAATTAAATAAATTAAGTTTTAAAATTAAGATAATAATAATAATTAATATTATTATTATTATTATTATTATTAAAATATAGCATTTTTATGTCATTAAAATATTTTAATTAATTTGTTGTTATTGTTTGGTTTATTTATGAAAAAATTCAAAATTATTATTATTATTATTTAAATATCATGTTTCTACTGTATATAAGTCAAGTAATAAATGTAATAATAATAATAATAATATAAATAATTAATAAAATATAACATTTTTATTTAATTAAAATATTTTTTTATTAATTGTTTTAATTTATTTGCGAGAAAAAAATCATAATTATTATTTAAATATCATATTTCTATATATATAAAAGTTATAATAAGTTAATAAATATAATAATAATAATAATAATATAAATAATTAATAAAATATAACATTTTTATTTAATTAAAATATTTTTTTATTAATTGTTTTAATTTATTTGCGAGAAAAAAATCATAATTATTATTTAAATATATATATATATAAAAGTTATAATAAGTTAATAAATATAATAATAATAATAATAATATAAATAATTAATAAAATATAACATTTTTATTTAATTAAAATATTTTTTTATTAATTGTTTTAATTTATTTGCGAGAAAAAAATCATAATTATTATTTAAATATCATATTTCTATATATATAAAAGTTATAATAAGTTAATAAATATAATAATAATGTAAATAATTATTAAAAATATAACATTTATTATTTAATTAAAATATTTTTTTTATTAATTTTGTTATTTGTTTTTTTGTTGTTTTGATTTTATCAGATCTGAAAAATTGAAACCATTTTGGCTGTCCATCTGTACAAAAGATCAGCCGGTGCTCAAAGAACGGCTATCCTCAGCCCTGTTATCCATGTCTGGCGAACCATCGGCTGAATACCGATCGGCAGTTACCCGTGCACTGGATATACCCGATTCAAAGGTCATACCGTTTTTCGGTGCCTTTTTAAAGGATCTTAAATGCATTTTACGGGGTATGCCATCGCTGGTAGTATTGCCAGTCGATGACGACGACTACTACTATACAGTGGCCGGTAATGATAGAGCCGGTGCCGGCAGTAATGCACGTAATGTCCAACAAATTAATTTAGATTTTATCGCCGATTTTAATGGTGACGATCACTATATGTAAGTAATTTTTGTTGTTTTTATCAAATAATAGTTTATTATATAAAATATTTAATTTTAATTTTTTTATTATTATTAAATGTTTTTATCTAAAACAAAATACAATTATAACTATTATTTTTAATTAATTAATTAATTGATAATAATGTGATAATTACTAATTAATAATAATTAAATTATTAAATTTATAGTTTATCTAAATTAACTATTAGATAATTTAATTAATTAATTAGTGAAAAAAAATAATTATTATTTATTATTTCATTTTTTAAAAATAATTATTAATTAATTAATTAATTAAACAATTTTTTTTAAAATTAATTTCTATTAAAATTAAATGCTTTTTTGTTTAACAAAATAATTATAAGAAATATAAAGTTATTAACAAACAAACAAAAAATATTATTTTATTTTGTTTATATAAAACATTAATTTTTATTTTTTAATAATTTATGATTAATTAATTAACTAATTAACTAATATATGTAATTACAGTAGTAATTAATATATACTATAATGTGTTTGATTTTTTTGTTGCACTGGTAGGTCCCGGATAGGTGTGGGCGGTATAATCAATATGGAAAAGATGTACAAAACGCACGAAGTATTAGATAATATCCGTGCATTTCATTTGCATCAACAGCGCCGACAACACCAACAACAACAACAACAACTGTTACTAATGATGGACAACAACAACGACACCGTCGGTAAAGACCCGCCGCCGCCGCCAATGGACACATCGATATCGCCAACAAACAGCTATTGTCTCAATCAAATGCTGTACACTTGCGGCGGTGGTATCGCTGGTGACGGACTAACCCATAAGGTTATTGACGGCGACAACAGCAACAACAACGCCCAGGAAGACGACTTGCACTATAAGCTGGATGTCGGCGATACAGCCTATCGGCCGATTCAGCCGCTGGCCAACAGCGGTCACGGTGTCTCATTTGTACCTATTTCTATCGATGGCAGTATTATCGACTTGCATCAGCTACAGGCCATGCATCACGGCCTGACGTGTGTCCACTACGAGGAGGACACTGGCCGATCGGCGGTAGTCTATCTGCAGTTGGAACAGTCAAACGCTACGTTGATCTGGTGTCGGCCGACCTGGTCGACGGCCATACGTACGCAAACCGGTGTTACGCCGCAGGACTATTCGTTGCCGACAAATATCGAGGACACTGTACAGCCGGCTATTGTGGCCAAATACGAGAGCAAAGAGCCGGCCATTCTCGGTCTGGACGAAGGCTACATTGATCTTCAATATGTAAAAGATGTCCGCATCGGGCAGTCGTCGGCCGATCTGACACTGATTGCCCGCCGACACGGTCTGTCCGATTCGGAACTACTTTCGACGACGGCGGCTGCCGACGGTTACAACGGTTCAAACAACAACAATAACTCGTCCGTTAAGCTATTGTTCGGTACCAATCTGTCGGACAATCGATCGGTAGAATTTATATCACCAAAATCGGTGGCCACTGTCTGGTCGGACGGCCTACGGTGTTTGTTTCGGTTACAACAGCAACAAAAACAACTAACCGATCAGCGAATTGTTTGGCTAAAAGACAAATACTTGCAGCTGTACTACGAGGACGCCGTGTGTTCGGGTCCGACACCGGCCGAAGCTATTCGGGTGTTTGGCGGACGCAAGTGGACACTGGATGCTATGGGTGCCGGCTATATGTCGTCGTCGACACCGACGCACACGGATTTGTCATCATCGGCAGCAGCGGCAGCAGTGGCCGGCGCCGCCTCGACTGCCAACAAACACAAAGACTCGGCCAATCGGATAAAGAAGAAAAAATCGTCCGTTAGTTTGACCGCCGCCCGTGACAGCAGTCCCCGCGGCGGCGGCGGCTGCGGTGATCTGGATCCGAGTCCGGCCGGTTCGGCTCACGGGTCGCCGTCGATCAAACAGCGTATCTATAATCTCAAGTTTCAATCGTCGCAGAATCGGCTGCTCCAGAGTTCAGCAGCCGCGGCCACTGCCGCCGCCGCCACTGCCGTCGATAAATCCGATGCCGATTCCCGATCCAACATCGAAACCATTAGCAACGTATCCGGCGGTAGTTCATGCGATGTCCACCAAACGGCTGGCAGTGGCGGCGGCGGCCGATTGACGGCTAACACCGGCAGCGGTCCTACCATTCATACCAATTCGCTGACCCATCACTACAGGGAAAAGTTTTCCACAACATCGACAACACCGACGCCGTCTAAGACCAACCAAACAACAACACATAACGACTCCACGACTACCGGTGCCGGTGTTGACAGTCATTTGCTGACACCATCTAAATTGCCGACAACTAAGACAACGATAACACATTCATCGCAAATGAATTTCTTAGAATTTCAGGAACTGTTTCGTTCGTTTATCATTAGATCCAGACGTGATATCAAAGATATCTTCGAACAGATTGCCACCAAACCGGACATTCATTTGTTTGGCAGCGGTGTCGGTCCAGAAACAGTTGGCGGCGGCGGCGATACATTGACTGCCAGTATTACTACTACTACTACTACTAATACTACCGCTGGCGGCGGTCCTGCAGTAGTCAGTGGACAACAACAACAACAACATCCGAAACTAAGTATCGACTTAACAATGAGTCCGACAATGTCCACAACCAGCGATGTTAGCGGCTATTACTGCGGCGGCGGCGGTAATAATACTAACACTACTACTACTAGTAGTAGTAGTCAACAGCAAATGTTGGGACTGTTGACCCGAAACTCGGCCTACGATCGTACGGATGATTCGTATCAGAAATCGCGTATATTCGATGCTATTGCCGCCGCATCGATAGTGGCCAACAGTTCGGGTATCGATACCTTGAAAACAATGTTGTTGACGGCTACCGATTTCCAAGCGTTCATCCTAACCTATCAGTGCGAATCGGTAACCATCGATGATGTCCGTCAGCTGATCCAGCGTCACGAACCTAATCCGGCGATACGGCGCCGCCGGTGTCTATCGTTTGAAGGTTTTGCCCGCTATCTGATGGATAAAGACAACTATGCCTATACACCGGAGAGGTATACAATCAGCGAACATGATATGAACGAACCGCTGTCCCACTACTATATGGCCTCMAGTCATAACACCTATTTGACTGGCCATCAGCTCAGGGGCGAGTCGTCCGTTGAATTGTACAGTCAGGTTAGTTGACTAGTAAATTGACTTAACTGGGCTTAAAAAGCTTTAATTTAGTTTTTTGTATAAAAAACAAATAGCCCCCCCCACCACCACCACCCATGTAGCTTAATATATACAGTTTATGCCATTTAAAAGTTTAAGCCATTTAAGTAATATTATTGTGTTTTTAAGTTGACAAATATATATATATATTTTTTTAATTATTAAATTATTAATTATTTAACAATTATATTTAGCTATAGTTAAGCTAGGTGAAATTTATTTAGTCATAATTTTAAAAAAAATAAAATAAAATAATAAATAAAATAAGTTTTATATATCTTTTTACTAAAGTTAAAGTATTGTAAGAAAAATAAAATAACTTTTAAAAAAAAATGCACATGTACTTTATATATTGTACAGTTTATGCCATTGAAAAGTTTAAGCCATTTAAGTAATATTATGTAAAATAATTTAGCAAGGTACTTTAAAATAACTTACCTAATATAAGGCAAATTGAGTACTAAGTTAGCTAGCTTAGCGTAAAGTGTTAAATGAACACGATATTACTTAAAATTTAAACTTTTTTTTAAGTGGCATTATCTGTATAATGGCATGGTACACATATTACGGTCGCACTTTTTAAGAAATCTAGACCCCCTCCTCCCTGCCCTATGTTTGCAATTGTTCGCATGTAGTCATTTAAAAAAAAAATTACGTTAGCTTATCACTAACAGCTACCCCCACCCCCCACCCCACCACAAGAAATAAGATATTATCTAAATGCTAACGTTCTTAAAGTCTTTACCCCTCCCATCCCCTCCCCTCCCATTCGTTCGCAAAAGTTCGCTTTGGCTAACCACCCCCCCCCTCTCCTCAAGTGCGAACGTAATATGTGAACCATGCCTAATTAAAAAAAATTTTACCATGTTCAAATAAACTTATAATAATATTTTTTATTTAATACTCATTTTTCATAAATATTAATTTTTAAAAAAAAACACATACTCAATGTATTTGAAAAATTTTGGATAATATTAAAATTGAACATGCTATTATAGTTGCAATAGATAAAATAAAACAATTAAAAACCAGTTGAGAATGCTTTAAAAGCATTTCCACACGAATTCCTTAACTTAAAAATGAAAAAATTAAAAAAAAAAAAAAAAAACAGTTGAGAATGCTTCAAAAGCATTCCCATACGATCTCCTTAACTTAAAAAAGAAAAAAAAACCAAAAAAAATCAAAAAAAAATCAAAAAAATTTTGTAGCGGAGCCTGGATTCGAACCACTAACCTATGTGGGACAGACAGACAGACAGACAGACAGACAGACAGACAGACAGACAGACAGACAGACAGACAGACAGACAGACAGACAGACAGACAGACAGACAGACAGACAGACAGACAGACAGACAGACAGACAGACAGACAGACTTTTAGAATGCATATACGTATTCCTTTCAGGAATTCGTGAAAACAATAGTTAACTATAATAGCATGTTCAATTTTAATATTATCCAAAATTTTTCAAATACATTGAGTATGTGTCATATTAGTTGATAAAATTATTATTAATGATTTGTGGTGACATATCATATATTGTTGGGTTAGCTAACTGTGCATTAGCTAACCATTTAGTATCTATCCACTGTACTATATAATTGTGTAAGTGATTGAATGTATGATAATACAAAAGTTTTTTTTATTAATACAGTAGTATAATATAGTTAGGTTAGGGTTCAGGTAATTTTTTCGCAAAATTTATGTGTAGGTGTGGACATACCATATAAGTAGTTTGTTGTTGTCTAGCTAACTGTGCTATGGTAGGTGTTTGGGTGGTGGGTGACTAATTTGAATGGCTGATATATGATTTTTTTTTTGAATAAATAGATGAACCCATAATAATCTATACGTGACTGTTGTATTAGTCACACACACACACAGTTAGTCATATTGACACAAACACACACACAAATATGACTACCCAAGTGAGTGAGTGAGTGGGTGACTAAATTGAATAACTAGATGAACCCTATATCATGAACCCTATATATGATTTTGTTAAATTGAACAGTTAGCTAGAAAACGGTTAGTCAATATGACTAACTGTTCAATTTAACAAAATCATATAGAGGTTCATGATATAGGTATAGGTCATAGTAGTTAGCTAGAAAACGGTTTGTTAATATGACTAACTATTCCCTACCCATACCCCTCCCACCCCTCATTGAAAAGTGTGGGTAATATAGGTTTTTTTTAATAAAAATGTATGACTAACCTTATAGGTTGACTATTAGTAATACCCTTTAAATAATAATAATACTGTAATTTATTAAATTGAACAGTTAGTCATATTGTTTTCTAGCCTAACTATTGCCTGCCCCTACTCCCACCCCACCCCTGATTGAAAAGTGTGGGTAATATACTAAACTTATAGGTTGACTATTATTATTAATGCCCGTTTAATAATATAATATCTATACCAGGCGTTATAAAATGATTATACGGTCCCTTATTTTTAAAAAAAAAACATAATTACTGATCAAAATAAAAAAAACAAAAATACACAAATTTTATAACTAAATTTTATATACTATTAAATTGCAAAAAAATGCTTAATCAAAATTAAAGAGTAATTAAAAAATTTAAAAAAAAATATTTAACCTATGTATTTGAGCTAGATTAATTATATATATATATATTTAATAAAACAATTAAAAAATCACTATACAGATATACACACTGATCTAGAGTTAAATTAAATTACATAAATTAAATAACTAATTTTTTTATAATAATAATAATATTAAATCTAAATATACTAATTAATTATAAATAAATATGTAATTTGAGCTAGATTAAAATATAATAAACCATAGACTCTCTCTCTCTCTCATAGGTTTATTATTAATCGGTCCCTGAACGTTAATTATAAAAAAATATTAAAACTAAATTAATAAAACAAATATAACATAACATTAAAAAAATTATTAGGGAATACAAAAATTTTATTTAAAAAAAACAAATATATTAATAAAAACATGTTATATATCAATACTGTATATACAGTATATATCAATGAAAAACAATAGTTAAACATTAACAACATGTATAACATTAACTAAAATAAATAAAAAACAACAATTAATTAATATAATAGTGTAAAAATTTGTAATATTTGTAAATGAGTAAGGTACATTACATTTATATTATCATAAAATATGTAATCAAGTTAAATTAACAAAAAAAAATCTATCATGATAGTTTTTTTAAGCCTATACTAATACCTATACTAATAATACTAATTATTATTTATTTATTATGTGATACCTCCTAATCGATACCCGTATACCCGATACCCGTATACCCGATAAATACATACAGGTGCTGTCTACCGGCTGCCGGTGCGTTGAACTAGACTGTTGGGACGGTGACGATGGCCTACCGGTCATCTATCACGGCCATACCTTGACATCGAAAATATCGTTCAAAAAAGTCATCGAAATTATCAACGACAAGGCATTTGTGGCCAGTCCTTACCCGGTTATACTGTCACTGGAAAACCACTGTTCCCTACCGCAGCAGATAAAAATGGCCCAAATATTTGTCCAGATATTCGGCGACAAACTGGTCACCCGATTCATGTTCGATTCGGACTATTGGGACGAACCTCAGCTGCCGTCACCCAATCACCTGAGATATCGGATATTAATAAAGAATAAGAAACTAAAAGCGCCGGCAATTAGTCCGCAAGCGGCGGCGGCGGCGGCCGCGGCCATGAATATGCCGCGTCAAATGCGCGGTATGTCTGTAGCCGGCACTGCCGGCAACCCGACCACCGCCACTGGATCGTCGCCGTACTCCAAGTCGTTCAGCGGACGTACAAATAGTCTGATATCGACGGCAAGTACTGGCAGTCTGAACGAAGAAGAGGACGACGAATATGAAGACGAAGAGGACGACGACGAAGCCCTGGACGATGCCCTACAGGCCTTGAATGCCGCCGCCGCTGCCGGCGGCGGTGGTGGTGGTGGTGGCCGTAGTAATAGTAGTGTTGGTGGCGGCGGCGATCAACAACAACAACAATCGGTGGTCACTAAGTCGCCGGCCGTCAAAACTGAATCATCATCGAGTCAGGAGTGCGCCAGTAGTTATGGTGGCGGCGGTAGTGATCATATTAGCAGCAGTACTACCGGAGCCGCTAATACTACTACCACCGCAACCAAGAGTGCCAATACTCATCAACGGTCGACCAGTTCGCCAATGAGTGTCAGATCGCCGCGTAGTCATAGCGACACATCTGACCATCATCATCACCAGCACCGTCAGCACCAACACCAACATCAACAACAACAACAACAACAACAGCAGCAGCGTCTGGTGTACGACGCGGCCGACTATTATGCCCAACAAATGTCGACAATTAGTACACTTCACGCCCAAAACAAAGCCAACCGAAAATCCAGTTCACAGATTGCGCCCGAACTGTCCGATTTGGTCATCTATTGTCAGGCTATCAAGTTTCGTGGTTTTTCGGCAACGACGGCTAACAGTGGCATCGGTGGCGGCGGTGGAGGCATTGGATTACCGACGGCCAGTCCGACAATGACCGCCGGCAGTGCATCAGCAGCCGCTGCTGGCGTTATTATGACCGGCTCTTCAATGCCTACGAAAAAGATGGCCAACACCCGTAAGCTGGTGGCCTCGGCAGGAGCCGTACCCGGCGGTACTGGCGGTTCGGTTATTGCTGGACAGCAGTTACCCGGCGGTGGCGAGTGTAAGAGTCCGGACATTCGCGATAGCGTACCGTCACCGACACCCATGTCATCGGCTGTATCGTCAATGGCCACCACCACCAACAACAACAACATACCGCTGACTACGGTAACCGCTAACAGGAGGCCAACGGTAAACGGGGCCTGCTATCAGGTATCGTCCATCAATGAAAATACGGCCAAAAAACTGTGTCGCAAAAGTCCGCTGGCCGTTATCGGGCATACTGTTGGCCAGATTATGCGTACCTATCCGGCCGGTATGCGCATCGATTCATCCAACTTTAATCCGGTAATATTCTGGGCATTTGGACTCCAGTCGGTAGCCCTGAACTACCAGACAGTCGATTCGGCCCTACATATCAATCAGGCTATGTTTGAACAGAACGGCGGGTGCGGTCTCGTACCGAAACCGCCGGTAATGCGCGACCGACAGCACGTGATGTTTGGCCGATTCAATCCGTGGGATAAGGAGTTTGACGGACTGCACGCCATTAATCTGACAATAACTGTACGTTTAGTTTAATTATTAACTTATTTTATTAATTTTAATTAATTATTTTATTTTTTTAAATAACATATTTTTTAAAAAAAAATTTTGGTTTAATTTCTGATAATTTCTTATAATTAATCATAAAATAAATATTATTTTTTTTAATAAAAACTAATAAATAATTAGTTTATTTATCTGTAATTATTTAAAATGTTATATTTATTTATTATTTAATTTTTATTATTAAAAAAAACTAATATATTWATAATAAATGCAATTAATTATTAGTAAAACTATATAGAAATTATTATAAAATAATTAACAATTTTATCAACAACAACAAAAAAATTACAACAATTTTATAATAATTAATTGCATTTATTATTAATATATTAGTTTTTTTTAATAAAAATTAAATACTAAATAAATATATCATTTTAAATAATTACAGATAAATAAACTTATTATTTATTAGTTTTTATTAAAAAATTTAATTTTTTTTTAAATAATAAGTAATTTTAAKTATCGAATTTAAAATAGTAATATAAAATATTAATATAAAACTTATTAAAATTTATTATTTATTACTTAAAATTTATATCAATGACAATAATATCAAATTAATAATTATTTAAGTATTTAAAAAAAATTGTAATAATTATTTATTTTTWTTTAAAAAAAAACTCTAATATAGATAGTAAAATAAATAATTACAAAACTTTAAATATTTATTTTATACTACTAGACACATAAATTTATACWTATATGAACAGGGTCATTGATTTTTTTTTGTTGAAAATATTAAAAAWTSATAAATATTTATCTAAAAATAAAAAAATTATAAATATTTATCTAAAATAATATATATATAATATATGTTTATCTATTTCATCAAACAAACAAACAAACATAGATCATATCGGGTCAGTACGTATGTCCGACAACCAACACCGGTAGTCCACTGGTGGAACTGGAGGTAATCGGTATACCCGTTGATTCGGTACGACAGCGTACGAAAATTGTCCAACGAAACTCATTGAATCCCATTTGGAACGATACGTTYATGTTTCGGGTAAATTCATATACATACCAGTCCCCCTCCATACATACCAGTCCCCATAAATATCATTCCCATAATTACCAGTCMCRTAAATACCAGTCCCATAAATATCATTTCAATTAATACCAGTCCAATACATACTATTCCCATAAATTTCATTCCGTAAATATCAGTCCCATACATACCAGTCCAATAAATACCAGTCTCATAAATACCAGTCTCATAGATACAGTACCATAGATACCAGTCCAATAAATACCAGTCCCATAAATACCAGTCCTATAATTATCATTCCCGTAAATACCAGTACAATAAATATCATTCCCATAAATACCAGTCCTATAAATACCAKTCCCATATAYATACCATTCCCTTCTATGATATGTATTGCCTAATAATAATAATTATTATTATWATACTATTTTAGGTAACGTTCAGCGATCTGGCATTTCTACGCTTCTCCGTAACGGATGCCGGCACCAATCACGTTGCCTCCCAGCGGGTCCTACCTCTGCARTGCCTGCGCCAAGGCTACCGACACCTGAGGCTCAGGTCGCCCCAGAATCAGTCGCTACAGTTATCATCCCTATTCATCTATTCCCAGTACGAGGAAGAGGGTCTGGACTATCATCCCGGAGCTTGTGGTGGTRGTGGTGGTGTCCAACAACCATACGGTTCGGACGGTGATAGGGACGGTATGGTCAATGGCCAGTCACAGGTAACTACCGGCGGTACGGGCGGCGGCGGTAGCGGCAAACAGCGTACCCGTCGTATACATTCAAGCGCTGCCGACTTTAGCCGACTGGACAGTCGAGATCAGTCGTCGGCTGCGGCGGCGCCGCCACCAGTCAGGCGTCGTATGTTTTTTCTGGTCATTCACGGTGTAGTAGCCGACGAACCGTCGACTATATTGAAGATTACACAGGACTCGACATCRACGGATGTTATACATCAGGCACTGACCAAAGCWGGGAAACCGGTGGATACGGCMGCCGATTATGTCCTCATTGAGGAAGTCCAGCGCGGATGGGATCGTAAACGTGTWAACGARAGGAATATTACACAGAGRATACTGGATCCAGAGGAACGGCCATTGGAGGCACAGTCTCAATGGAAAGGAGAGGGCAGGTATGTSTRWCAGTATATATATATATGTGTGTTAGATAGTGTGTGTATGTATGTGTGTGTGTGTGTGTGTGTGTGTGTGTGTGTGTGTGTGTGTGTGTGCATGTGTGTATGAATGTCTATGTATGTGTGTGTGTATATGTGTRTTATATATATGTGTATATGTATGTGTATATATATGTGTATATGTATGTGTATATATATATATGTGTGTATGTTTGTGTGTGTATTTTTGTGTATGTGTGTGTTAGTTAGTTAGTTTGTGTATGAGTGTCTATGTATGCGTGTGTATATGTGTATATATATGTGTATATGTATGTGTGTATATATATATATATGTGTGTGTGTGTGTGTGTGTATGTGTGTGTATGTTTGTGTATGTGTGTGTGTGTATGTGTGTGTATGTATGTATGTATGTGTGTGTTAGTTAGTTAGTTTGTGTATGAGTGACTATGTATGTGTGTGTATATATATATGTGTGTGTGTGTGTGTGTGTGTGTGTGTGTGTGTGTATGTGTATATATCTGTATATATATATGTGTGTAGGTGTGTGTGTGTGTGTGTGTCAACTGTTTTTTTATGTTTTCTGTTGATTTGAGCTGTAATTTATATAAATTATAAGTATATAGTTTTCTGATGTACCGATTGAATTGCTCGGAAATTGCCGAGCTGTAAAATTTATATAAATTTTTTTTATAAAAAATAACAAAATTTAAATAGTATGAATAAAAACATAAATTAATTATTATAAAAATTTAATTATTTTATTTATAAAAATGTTGCCATCTAAAAAAACCATGTAAAAAATAATAATAAATTAGTAAATTATCTATTGTAATCTATTGTAAACAAATTTTTTAACGTTGTTAAAGTTAATTTTTTATACATTCCCTCATGCGCGCAATTTCACGCAATTTTCCGCAATTGAATTGCGAAAAATTAACAACACTACATATAGCATATATATATATATAAGCTGGTACAATGTTATATAAATAGTCATTATTATTGATATATTCAATTCAAGTATACATAAATATATAAACTTATACGTTATTAAAAAATAAAATACTTACCATATTGTGGACCAAATATTTTTTGTTAYTAATTAATAATTAATAATATAAGTGTTATATATTGATATATATAATTAGTTAYAGTCTATATAGTTAAATATTATTATATATTTTATTTTATTTTTTTTAAAAAAAACTATTCAATTTTAGTGTGTATTAAAAAATTATAATAAATATTAAAACTATTCATACATTTGTATAAAAAAAAMAAAAATTTTTGATGTAAAATATTTATTTAAAAAAATTAAATATTATTATTAGTAATAATAATAATAATTTTGTAAATCTATAAAAACTAATTAATAATTTTTTTTCAATTATCGATAGGTATGTCCTGAAAAAAGTATCGGACGACCCGAGCACCAGGGCCTGGATGTCGAGCATACGTAACGCACAAAAGGATAGACAGCGTAATAATAATACTAATAAATTGGATTCAAATAACCCGGACCTACAGTCCGACCAGTTGGCCAACGAATGGACCGACGAAACCTATACGGCCGATACGTTTTTGGTTTGTATCTATAATGTCAGTCCCGATCAGCCGTACACCATATTGAAGTCGTCAGCCGATAGTACAGCCGCCGATATCATAACCCAGGCACTGGTCAAAGCCAGACGACCCGAACCGCACCAGGATTTGGCACTGATCGAGGAATTGGAGTATTTTACCGATACTGGCGGCGGTTGCGGCTACGGTGGCGGCGGTGGTGGTCAGGAATCTGGTCAGACATCGTCGTCATCGTCTAAAAAATCGGGTATCAAATGGCGTCGYGTATTAGCCGACGACGAGTGTGTCTATTATGTACAACAAAATTGGAAAACTAAAGGCAAATTTGAATTGAAATTACGCAAAGATTTGACGGCCACTGATATGACGGCTGACCAACAATCGGCGAACAAGTCGTGACCAACAGTCRTCGTCGGGTACAACGGCTGTCCAGAAACTATTGCAACGCAATCGTCATTCGCTAAAACGTTTGACACATTTTCATCGCAGTTCATCCCGTAGTCGWCTCGAAAAGTATTTGATACATAATAATAATACTAATCCCTCGACGGCCAGTCCGCCGATAGGTGCGGCCGTAGCGGCCACTCGAGACTCGCCCAGTCATCGSCGKCAGACGCACAGCGAAGGCGAGATGCCGTCGGACGATGAGACCGGCGGCGGCAGCGGTGGCGGCGACCAGAAAGCAGGTGTCGGTAGCAAAGCGTTGCAACGTTTGACCAAAAAGCTGTCGTTTCGTAAGCTAARAGTCTGGAAGTGATGGTTAGATTGGTTTCAGTGGTGATAATAATATTGTATTTTTTTTTTTTTTTTGATGGACACTATCTCCTACTCCTCCTATAATTTGATAACAATTTATTTAATTTAATTTATTAATTTTTTTTTTGRGATAATATTAAACATAAAAAATACATTATTATATTATAATATATATCACAACAATTGGCTATACTATAYATATACATACAGTACCTGTTATTTTATAAGTGTTAATATAGGTATAGTACAGGTATATACCTCATTATACCTGTATATATAAATGTTTGTATTTTATATATATATTTGTTATATACACTGTATGTTTGGGATACTTTGACCCATTGATGATGATTATGTATATCACACCCCCCAATTTGGTATCACTATTACTAACCATCACTAWCCACCACTTGAATCTATTGATCTCTATTGAAATTTAATTGTTATTTTTTTTAATTATTATAATATAAAGTTTTAATTATTTATTTATATTTTCTAATTAATTGTGTATATAATTGATTTTTTTATATACATTTTATAATTTAATACTCATTTCATTATTATTATTATTATTATTATTATTGTTCTCATTATATAAATRTAATAATAATTATTATTATTGTTGTTTTGTTACTTAATTTTTTTTAGTGCACTTATAATTTTAATTTTTTAACAAAAAAGTTATAACTTTAAACGTTTATATTTGTAAATTAATAGTTTTATATATATTAATAATATTTAATATATTTCAAAAAACCCCCTCACATTTAAATATACATATTTTAAATTTTATACAAATTTGTATATTAATAATAATAATATAGTATTATAAATGAACTTTTCTATATATATATAAAAAAAATTATATACCAAAAACAAAATATTTCTATATGTATGTAATTAATTTTTTTACAATAATTAATTAGATGGTTGTATTGTATATATTATATTCAACAAAACAAAAACAATTTATCACCAAAAATGCTATAATAATAATATTAAATAATAATTAATCCCATATTTCCTAAGTATGACTATAATAATAATAATAATAAAATATTATTTTGTATTTAACAGTATTATTAGTGATATATTGATGATATACAGTATATATATATATTTTTTTCAGTTAAAATTGTTAACAACAAAAAAACTAATAATTTATATAATTTATATTGTTATTACAAAATATTGTATTGTATATTAATTAATTATAATTGTTTTTTTTGTTGTTGAAATAAATAAAAATAAATTTTTACATAAATTAGTTTACAAATTTTATTTATTATTTAATAATTATTAAAACATGTATTATTTTTAATTTACTAATTAATAATTTTATTTTTAAAAACTGTAATTTTTTAATTGACAACTAATTAATACAATTATATTGATTGTTGTAATTAATTAGTTTATTAAGTGATAAAAAAGTTATGTTGAATGCATGGATGGTCTCTCTCTCTCTCTCTCTCGAGAGAGAGAGAGAGAGAGAGAGAGAGAGAGTATATACAGACATATATACAGAGAAACAGTAGATTCAATACAACCAGTAGTTTGACAACCAGTTCATAGAAAATAGATTTTTTATTTTATTAAATAAATTCAGTTTATTTAGTATTTTTTAAAATATAGTTTTTATTTTGTTTTAATTTTTTGTATATAATATTGTGTTAATAAAATAATAAATGTCTTTTTATTATTAATATTTTTTTTATAAGTAGTTTACTGTGGGGGAGGAGGGGGAGGGTTAGTAGTAGTAATAATAATAATAATAATTATAAATGTAAAAATAATACAATAATTATCTATCTATCTATCTTATAATATTATATAATAATAAAAAAATTAAATTAGTTTCTTATATTACGGTAATATTTTTTCTCATAATAATAGTATAATTATAATAATAATAAATATTTTTTTAAAAAAAATCACATTTAAAGTAACAAATAATATAAAATAATTAATAATTAAATTAATAATTTAAATTATAAATCATAATTTCCAGTATAAATCTACTGTAGTAATAATCATCGGTATTATTATTGCTATATTATTAGCTATAATGTTGTTATTGTTAAGCGATTGCCGTCAATTGTGTGGCCATCGGGTGGTCAATACATGTGGCGTCGATGTCATCGACAGCGACGACCACATCATCATTGACTTCAAAATAATCTTTCGCTTCGTTCCAGCGATTCTTCGGAAATCTTTTGGCAAACGTTAGCCGTTCTTCAGCTATGGATTTGAGAGKRAATAAAGATTTAGTGATCAATCAAATCARTCAATGAAATGAATTTTACCCAATGTTTGACTGTTACGCTTCGKYAGGCCGTTAGTACCGACCGGCGGCCGACTGCTATCGACGGCCTTCAACTGTAGGCCAACAATAGTCGATTCGATAAATGTCGACAACATCAGTGTCGACATCTCCTGTTCGAGTATCGTACGGTTCGGTCGGTTACGAAAACAACACGATATCAATGTCGGGAACAGTATTGCACTTAAGCGGTCGTCGGAAAAGTACTCGAATGGCAGACAACACAGTTGTTGGACAACTGTTGGCCGTTGACCCGATTGGATGAGTGTCTGTTTAATAAGTGCGGGAAATTATAAACTAAATAATTTTTTCGGGAAAATTTACGGATAATTTAATAATACCTGATTTTCGGTATTCAATACAACAAAATTGCCGATCAATAGTATAACTTCATTCAATAGCTGATAATCGGTAGTGTTTTTGTTGTTGTTGTTGTTGTTGTTGTTGTTGTTRTTGTTATGTGAACAACAATACCACAGTAGGTATGAGCAAATGTGTCGCAACTGTAGTGATAGGCCCTCACCTCCTAAGACACTCTGTTTGGGTGTCGATTGATTCAAAAAAAAAAAATTATTTCAATTATAAACATTAATATTTTGGTACATAAGCTACAATAGAAACACACACAYACAYACACACWYACATACACACACACACATACATACATACATACAACACACATACATACATACATACATACACAAACATACATACATACATACACAAACATACATACATACACACACACACACATACACATATACATATACATATACATATACATATACACACACATACACACACACACACACACACATACACACACATACAACACACACATACACATACAACACACACATACAACACACACATACACACACCTGAACCATATTGAGATCGAGTAGTGCAACATAATTGAGTAGACGTATGACTTCGAGGGTAGCGTCGAGTGTATGGTCGGCCAATACGGGTGGCGGCGGCCGATCACCGCAACTGCGAACGAGTGCACCGGAATGCAGTAGAACGCCGTACAGCATGGAGACAACACCAAACAGATGGGTCATCTGCATAGTCATCATCAGCTGGGTTTCGTCGGCATCGGCGGCCAACTTCGAGCCGAACAGTTTCGGGTCATCAGTCAAGCGCAAGGCCATCAGTTTGGCCATTGAACTGAACAGTGAGATTACATTCTGAAGAGAACGGGCCACTTGTGGACTGTCGTCAATTGGTCCGCGTGTTTGCGACAGCATTAGCGACAGTTTGTCGATCATACCGACGCTAACAATATAGCTAATCATGTCCTGAATGATAGCCGTAAATCCGAGACAGTCGTCAGTGTTTTCCGGTAGCGACGAATAATGGGCGTAAAGTGTGTCAAATATGGCCGAAAATAGTCGACACAGCGAACCGATTACTGGATCTATTTGGGCAGCGGTGGTACCGGCGCTAGTGGTCAACAGGTTAACATCCATAAGCTATCAGAGAGAGAGAGAGAGAATATACAGAGAATATAGACATATAATTCAATACTAAAAAATGATTTGTTTTTTTACGTTAATTCTATGGCACGTAATGTCCAACAAATCGATCATAAAAGTCGAATGCAAGACATAGTCGCTGACGTCGACATGTTGTCGGCAAACCAGTTCATAAATGGCCGCCAATTTAACATTTGACCTGTCGGTCAACGATGTCGGACGATCTTTTGTACCGTTTTGTATACGGCCTAACAGTTTGGTCAGCAATTGTATGCCGTTTAGCGAATAAAAATACTGCGAATCTACGGATTTCGGACTATTATTATTAGTATTATTGGCAAACAGTTTCTCCAATTCGTTGACAATACGATCCAAACTGTGTGTCATATTTGTCGGCCATTGGCCAGTAATCTGTGTGTCTGAGCTCAATGTTGTCAAATCCTATTACACAAATAAAATTAAAAATTAAAACTTAAAATATAAAAATTTTTAATTACAAAAATAAATACTTTAAATAATTTAGCAATTTTTGTCTTATTATTGCTTGGAATGGATTTCGGATCAAATAATTTTTGGCCATAATTTCGTTCAAACTGTTGAGCTTTGGCCGCCAATCGTTGTTTCAATTTTCGGCTACGTTTTCGGGCAGCTTTTAGCCGCTCGTTCTCACAATTTTGTACAGACATATGGTCACAGCCGCCGCCGCCGCCGTCGGCCGCCGACGCCGATTGGACAACAACAACACCGGGCGGTACCTCAGAAATATATTTCAAATTATAGGCCTCCAGTTCCTCATTGGTTGGCATTTTACCGCCGTTTTGTTCGGCAATCGCATCGTTATGTCGTTTACCTTATAAAACAACAACAGTTTTATTATTATTATCTTTGAATGTCTTCTTGAATCTGTTTCTTACCTCTTAAATGGCCGAACAAAAACACTTCGGATCTGATAAACACTTGACATAACTGACACATTTTGCACGTATCGTACGGTTCGCATACCGGCGCCTCATCGTTGCCCACTGTCGACGACTTCCGGACGGATAGTTCCAGCGCTTTCTGACGGATTTGTGCCATAATTTCTTCATGTCTTCGGGCGCTTTCGTCGTGTTTTTGTTGTATCTTTTTCTGTAGTTCTTCGTTCTTCTGGACAAACAGGGCATTGATGGCCGATAGCCGAGACTGTCTGTCCAATGCCTGACAATCAATCAATCAATCAATTAGTAAACATTCAAAGCATTTACGGTTACTATGAAAACCATTACAAACCTTTTGTGTGGCCAACTCTTGTCGCTCTTTTTCCTTTTCCTGAAACTGTTGTTCAATCTTCAGATCTTTGATACGCCTCCGCTGTTGCAACTCCTGTATCCTCTGTATCCGCTCCTCTTCCAACTGTTTACGTCGTTCCTCTGCCGCTACCTCTTTCGCCTGTTTCTCTTCATGTCGTCGCTGCCGCTCATCCCTGAGATCCCGGAGCCTCATCTGACGGTCCTTTGCTTTCGACATTATATCGTATTTTTTGTTCTGAGCTTCCAATGAATTGATAAACAATATTTCGTTTACTTTAGATTCTTCGTCGTGGGCTTTCCTGACGATACGATTCAACTGTTGCTGACGTTTTTCCTCGGCTTTCTGGTGTTTCAATTCCATCGACTGTTTCAATTGCATCTGTTGTTCCTCTTTCCAGGCTTTCATCTCTTCCGCCTATAAGACAGACAAATATAACAAACCAATGGTCAGACAAACACTACAAACCAATGGTACCAAACAGACAGTCAGTGTCACCATCAATGGCAACCAACAGTCAGTTAGTGTCACCATCAATGGTAACCCCAACAGTCAGTCAGTTAGTTACCATCAATGGTACCCAACATACAGTCAGTGCAACCATCAATGGTAACCCCAACAGTCAGTCAGTGTAACCACCAATGGTACCCAACAGTCAGAAAAAAAATCTTAAATACCTTTTTGACAATTTTGTTAAACTTTTGGGCCCTCTCTTCCAGCAGTTTCTCCCGGGCCTCCTGTGCTTTGGCCAGTTTTTCTTCGTGTTTCTTAATCGACTCCTGAGGTGAAACTGTACGCTTACGCGACGGTGACGACAGTTTTTCGTGCATTTTCAATGCCCGGCCCGGCGTACGCAACAAATCAGCCGATACTCCGCCAGCACCGCCGGCTCCTTCCATCGGATCCCAATCGGTTGTCTGCGAGGCTGCCGTAACCGCATAGACAGTACCGTCGGCTGTAGTCTTCACTATGGAATCGTCTTCTAAAATAATTACTTTTGGCGGCGATATTTTATAACGTT